AAGGAATCTCATTTCAATAATCAATTAGTTACAGAATTGATAGAACAATTTCACATTCGTCATAATCTATCTACCCTTATCATTTTAGAACAAATGGATTAATAGAAAGATTCAATAGAATTCTATGTGAATCATTAGCAAAATTGACTGAAAGATCTACTCAATGGGACCAATATATTTCTCCATTCTATTTGCTTATCGTACAAGCAAACAATCAGCCACAAAAATTAAACCCTTTATTTAGTTTATAGATGAAATGCAACGTTACCTATTGATAATCCTAATGATTTTAATGACCTTTGTACCAACCAGAATTTTATTATTCAAGAAAAAATTGATCATCTGACTAGATGCAAAGGTCAAATACAATTTGCACAATAGCAACAAAAGAAGTACCATGACAAAAATACAAAGATCTTTGTTTTACATGAAATTGGAGATAAGGTTCTGTACTTCAAAGCTACAAAATATAAAACCCATTTTGGAAAATTGGATCAAAAATAGAAAGGACCCTATTATATCCATCAAATCTTACTAAATAGCTCTTATAAGATAAGAGAATTAGATAGTTGTGTACTTTGTAACCCAGTAAATGGAGATCTTTTAAAAATATATAAAGACCCTCCTTTTCAGAATTAGATTTTCTTTTTATTTCTTATCATTATTATTTTCTAATATAAAACAACTTTATATCGAAGATTTAAACGAAACTTTACCTGAAGAAATAACTCCTACTATGTCTTTATACTCAAATGGAATGGACCTACAGAAGAAATTTTAAATGATATATTGAATGTTATTAAGAGCTTCACAAATGAAAGACTGGACTCTTACCTTGTATAAATGCTTATTACTTAGGAAAACTTTTAGAAACAGAAACTTCTTTACCAGCACAATGAAGTCAATTAAGAGGACTTGTTACCAAATACTATAGTTCTGTCTCAATACGTATTTATTACTTCTATGAAATGCTAAGTATAGATCAAATTCAACGAGCGAAATATATATCATTGAAGAATCTTTATCAACTCTCAAGTTATGTATACTGGTCTCTAGTAACGAAGCTATGGATATTTGGATAGGAGCTCAAAACTTAGAAGGAGAGGATTGAAACTATGATCCATGACTACGCTAAAACAAGTCATGTGATCTAAATGATTGATATAGTTAACGAAGTTGCTAAAATTATCAACGTTGATCAAGTGGACATATTAGATAAATGAATTATATTTATTATATTTATTAATTATATCTTATTTATTATCTTTATTATATTTACTATAATTATATTATTTATTCTCTTTATCATATTTGTTATAGTTGATTTTATATTATTTTATTTTATATAAATATCTTGTATTTTCTCTTGAGTTGAAAAGTAACTCAAGTTGAGGTTTTAGAATAAACCAAGAGTTCAATAAAAGAATCATTAGATTTATTTACTATTATCTTTTTCGTATTTTTATATAGGCCTGATTGTGATATTGTCTTGTATTTAATTTGATGAATTGAATTAAAAGTTTATCGTTCAAGTTTACAGATACCAAGCCAACAACGTACATTTATCTAAGAATAAAAAAGAATTTATTTGTATTAATTTGATTAAACATTTAATTATGCTATGCCTTGTCATTACCACAGTATTTTATTAATTATAAACTGAATAAATATTTCATAACTAATACACTTTATTACTGATTTAATAAATTATTATTTCATTCATTTATGATAAAAGTGTAGAATAATATAACATTTTAAAATACAACTGATAAAGAAATTTTTAAAGCTGCAAAATTATAATTTCCATCATATGTACAGTATTACTTTAAAGAACTAAATTCCTAAATTATGCCTATCATTTTTAAGTCCAAGAGCATTAATATCAAGATCAATTTCCCTGGTAAAATATTCTAAATAAATAATTTATAAAATATAATTAATATGAATATTTACATAATCACATATCACCTTTATTAATATTCACAATATCTGCGTTAATATCTATTTCTAATTCATAATCTAATAATACAGAATAGTCTTTAATTGGAGTTTAATGTTCTAGAAGTAATTATCAGTTGAAGACTGATTGATATTGACATTAGGACTATGCGTACAATATAATTACAAACTATTATCAATATACGCATAAAAATTTTGATCACATAAATTACGCAATGCATAGACATTGAAACTGGCAGAAACTGACAGACCTGTTAAATATGACATATATGTCAAATCTGCTAAATCTACCATATTTGCCAAATAGGACACATATATTATTTATTATATTTTTATTATTTATATCATTATTATCATTTATATTATATTTAACATAACTAGTATATCTGTTAGCTCTGTTATTATTGTTAGTAGTATTATAATTATCATAGATTTTCTTTAATTGTAATTTTCTTATATAAAGGACATGAAAATTCTTTGGAAAAAGGACAGATTCTAAGATTCCAACAAGTTCTCAATATTGTATTCAATATATATTTAATAACAATAATAAACACTCTTAACATTTTGCAAACATAAACTTATAATTTTATTCTTGTTAACTAAATAAACTCTCTAATAAATAGCGTGTCAAGTTGATTGGATTTAAGTCATAGCTATTGTCTTTCTGACTTCAAATCATAGTTAATTTATTCGACGGAAAGAGTAATATTAACAACGTGTATAATAATAAATATTATAATCTAATCTAATTAAAGATAGAATTTAAAATATTTACCATTATTTTTACTTTTTTGTTATCATCAATTAATCTATAATTAAGCTTTCTTTTATCGTTTATTTTTCAAAAAATAAATAAAAATAAAGTTATTAACAAAATTAATATTTAAAAAAATGATTGATTAAATAAAAATGTATCATTAGAGAATATATTACTCTTTTGATAATAAACAAATAGATCTAAACAATAATTTAAATTTTCATTATTTTCTTTTTTATTTAATCAAATAAAATATATAAACTAAAATAAGAAATTATTATCATACCAAATTCTGTAACGGATTGTCTTCTTGATAGCATTGCAAATCTTATCATATTGCTTAATAGTCTACTTTTATAAACTGTTCCTGAATGATTCTTTGCTATAGGTCTAATTTTTGATGATAACATGAACTCTGTTGCTTCATTACTTTCACTATATAGATTATTATAATATAAATTATTTAATTCAATAGTTACCATATAATCAACCTCTTCTTTTAAATAATTAGCTGTAGGTCTTTTATTTGGATCAAAATGCCAACATATTTTCATTAATATAATGAAACCTTTAGGTGCATTTGTGATAATTGGAGGACGCATATTGTCACATTTTCTAAAAATAAGTTCTGTATCATGATCTTGATTCTAAAAAGGCCTTCTATCCATCATTAACTCCCATATAATCATACTAACATTATAGATATTTGAGGCCGTAGTATAATTTTGTCTGCAAAAATCTCTGGGACAATATAAGGAATAATACTATAAACTTTATTGTTATTATTATCATTATTATCTGTTAATTCATTTAATGATTTGCTAATTCCTAAATCATCTATTAGAATTTTACGATTTTCACAACATAGGATGTTCCTACTATAAAAATCCCGATGAATAATTTCTTTATTATGAATTTACTCAAGATCCTTAATAATTTTATTCAATAAATCTAAGTTATCCACCATGCAATATCATAAAAATTTTCTGTTAGATAACATCTTAGATCACCTGACTCACAATAATTCATGATTAACACACATAATCTTTTGTAATAAGATTGTGAGTAATTCCATAATATTTATTTATATAATCTGATATAAGAGATCTGATATTGAGGTCTAAATACCTCCAAAGCTAAAATTTTGATGCAAATTTAAGTATGTCATATTGTAATAAAAAATTGTTATTAAATTAATTCAATACCTCATTTAATTCCTCAATAGAAATATTTTTAGAATTAATTAGTTGTTTGAGAGCTATTGTTATATGTCTTTCTTGTGAATTCCATCATGCAGCTCTATAGACTTTGCTAAATCTTCTCTCAGCAATAAATTGAATATTTTTGAATTAATCATAAGAAACAAATTCCATTTTACTAAGTATATGAGTATTTTTTCGTGAATATCTGATAAATTCATCAACAACTATGTTCCCACTTTTTTTAAAAGGTTTTCCCCATTCATGACAATTATTACATTCATTATACATATTAATACAAATTTTACAAATCCACAAATTATCTATAGAAGATTTTCTCCATTCATGACACTCATCGCATTTCTTGTTTGCTTTATTAATTCGTTGAGAAGACTTATCCATTGATGATATTCATCACATTTGTTACATAATTTAATACAAGCTCAACAAATCTGTTAACTTTCTATGGAAGGTTTTCTTAATTCATGACATTCATCACATTTCATATATATTTTAATACAAGTTTGACAAATCTGATATCTTTCTATAGAAGGTTTTTTCAATTCATGACATTAATCACACTTGGTACATATTTTAATATAAGCTTGACAAATCTGTTGACTTTCTATGGAAGGATTTCTCTATTCATGACATTCATCACATATGGAGCTTTGTCAATAGAAATATGGTATCTGACGATTTTTACCAAAATGAGTTAAGTACAGTGCTATATAAAACAGACATTCTAGAATATATTTCAGTCTTTAAAATTATTATTTTATATAGTATAATTTTTTTCTATACCTATTTTTTGTGATTTTACGTGATTGGTAAGCCAATTTAAAAATAGAATTTCAAGAATTCTCATAAATTGAGTTGACGATCTTTGAACTTCCTGCAAATTTACAATAATTAATATAAATAATAAAAAAAATTTTTTGTGTATGAAAAAGTTATCTAAATAAGTATCATAAAATTGTGAAATTAAGTATCAATTTGAATTTATTTGAACACAAACAATTAATATATAAATCTTCAAAATTCAATGATTTTACAGTATCTTTGTATTACTTAAACCAAAAATGACTCATCCATTATTAAATAGCATTTTTTCTGAAACCTATAAAGAGCTTCAAACATTGCAACAAGATTTTTCTTATTTTCAAACACATTTCGTAACTATTAACAGCAACATTTCTGAATTAAATTTAGAAAATAATGATGAAATTTTAGACAAAGTAAAAGCAGAGAATAGTGAATTTTTAGTTATTACAGAAACTCAATTACAAAAATATCAACAACTTTTTAAAAAAACTGAAATTATTGAAGGCGATAACTTAGGTGATATTGAAATGCAACTCTTAGATGAAGAAATCAAACGAAATAATGACAAATGTTTCAAAAAAAATATAATTGAAACATCATGTTGTCAAAATAATTGTCTAAAAGATAAAATTAATACTGAAAGAGCTTTTTTGAGAAATTCAAATTTTCAAAGTTTATCAAAAAGTAATCAAGATTCTTTTTTAATGGGTTATCTTGTCGGTAGTTCAGGATCACAACATGTAACAGTAACAGGTAATAAAAGGATTAAGGCAGTTTGTGATTATTCTTTTGACGCAAAAGAAATCTGTTTGAAAGCTTTTAAATTTGTTTATGGGATCAGAACTACAAGATGAAAAAATATACGAACTCATTTCTCTGTTGAAGATATCAAAGCTAGGGTTCATAAAGCTATTGAAAAGCCTAGCAATAGAATGATCTCATTTTTAACAATTATAAAAATTGTTAGTTTTATATTAAGTTATGTTAATAGATAGGGTCTTCCATCACCAGATATATAATTTAACATTATATTATATTTTATTTACATTTTTACATATTTAATTTTTACCTTAGAACGACATTTTAGACGTGAAACAATGGAAGTTATTTTTTTACCCGCTATTGAAAGTTATTCATCTTTGCATCAGAAGTATTTAATGGCAATTCAACAATGTGAAAACATTGAAAAATTAACTATCAGTTTAAGTACTTTTTGTCAAGTTTAGAAAAACTATTCACCCGAAATAAAGTTTTTAACTTCATGAAGTGACCTATGATATTTATGTAAAACTATGCGATTTAATGCTAGTAATTGGACTGTAGAGGAGCGAGATCAAAAAGTAATTGAATGGAATACATATATTAAAGTCATATATAATGAACGTAAATATTACAAGTAAGTTTATTATACATCTTAAAATATATAATTAATGCTTTTAACTGATAAATTTAGAAAATGTATAGAAAGAGTCAAGTTTACTGTCGAAAGACTTGGTAAAGAAAATATAATTCGTTCAGGAAAAATTAATTCTTTAGATATTGAAGTACATCTATCTTGGGACTTTGCTTAACAAGTTTAATTACCTTCTTCATCACAACAAGAGGTAAATTGTTTTAATTTTTTTTTTGGATTTTATTAAAAAACTAATTATAAAATCAGCATTTTATTAGGGAGATACATTTTTTAAGTTTCTTTACAAAGTTCATGTTTTTGGGATATGCGATGATGCATTTTCTCATCAAGTAAGTTATTTATTAATTCATATTGTAAAATCTTTTAACTATTGATTATTTTTAGGTGAATTATCTTATTAAAGAAAGTGAAATGCCTGAAAAAGGAACAGATGTGATTATTTCACTAGTGCACAATTATTTTCTTTTGCATGGACTAGAAGAAAAACATTTAATTATCCATGCTGATAATTATTCTGGGCAAAACAAGAACAATTTAATGATAGTTTATTTAATATAGTGTGTAATGATAGGTTATCATAATAGAATTACATATTCATTTATGATTGCTGGGTATACAAAATTTAGCCCAGATTCTTTTTTTAAGTTATTTAAATTGCATTCGCTAAGTCAGAGATTGATAATTTAGATGACCTAATTAAAGTAGTAGAAATTCAACAACAAATAGATATAATGTAATACAAACGATCTTTGACAAAAATGAAGAGTAGGTTGTATATTTCTATAATTAGAGTGAATGGTTAAAAGAATATTTTAAAATTGTTCCAAATATTTTAAAATAGCACTCTTTATTTTTGATAATGAACATAAAGGAAAAGTAGAGATAAGCAGTTCTATTAATAAAGAAACAAATTTGATTGAAATTTGGAGAAAAGTTCTGAAAAAAGGTGCCAAACCAAGTCCAGCAACTACTCCACTTCTTAGTTTAAGTGCAACTCGGAAATGGTATCTATTTGATGAAGTATGAAAGCACATTCAAGTCAGAGAAAAACAAGATTGCCTTTGCTCTGAACCAGTAATTCCAAGGCCACCAAAAAGCACAAAAAAAAATTAACAATATTGTTTCTTATGCTATTCATTGTATAATAAGCCATGTTTTATAATAGAGATAATAGTGCTTTACTTTTATCAAAAAATTTATTAATTGGTTATATTCGTAAGACAATCTCCTAAAAAAAAGTATGTAAATTATTTGTAAAAAAATAATATGTAAGAAAATAATATAAGGAAATAATATGTAAATTACATTGTAGATAAATATTTCAAAGAATAAATGCGTAAAAAATTCTAACGACGAATAATTATAAAAATGATTGTTATAGCAAAGATTCAATTTTGAGACGCATATAATTCTAATAATTAATCACCATTTGTTGTTATTACACTAAACTCTGATTTCAATTATCTCAAAATAGCCTTTTTGCCAGATACCATGTTTCTATTGATAAAGCCCCATATGGTAAAACAATGATAACAAATCGTTGAATATTTGATGGAAGATTTTTTATAATTATCACATTGAGTACAATTCTATAAAATATATCCCAATTCAAAGAAAGACATTTTAATAAATCTGTTGAAATATAATTATTAAGAGCCTTATATTTATAAATTTTCTTCAGTTACTTAAAGTACTATTTCAGCTAGAATTCTATAATGTATTAATAGATTATTCTATATGTAAGAAATTCGTAAGCAGTATTATAAGGAACTTTTGGTACATTATTAATGTTATACAATGCAATTCATTAAAGATTTTCTCTATAGAAAGAAATTCTACCTGATCTAATTTTTACCTTTGATAAACTACTTGTGCAGTTGATTTTCCATGGGATTTGCAAAAAAAAAATACCAGATTGATCGCATGAGTGAAATAACAAAAATTAAACATTAATAATTTAATAATTATTTGCTTTGATTTTTATTGTGAAATTGTTTATTAGTTCTTTGACAAAATAAAAGAAATCATTTTTAATGAAGGATCAATACTATTAAATATTTAAAAATTGTGATAATTAAAATTTATTTGCTCTCTGAGATATAATAAACTTGCATTAAAAATGATAAATTGTCATCAAAATTAAGGTTGTGAGGCAAAAGTCAAAAATTATTTTCACTTTCGATGAGTTTGATGAATAATAATATGTAATTGTGTATTATAAAAAGAACTCAAAAAAGAATTAGCGTAATTGTTAAACTAATCTTTCATATAAAAACAGTAGCTAATAAATAAAGTGTTTTAAATTGAAAATTGTTCATTTACCTAACTTTTATTTTCTCTCTCTCTTTATATATATTTATTTAATTTTATTAGCTATATTATAATAGTATAGGTTAAATAGGATAGAAAGAATATCGAAGATAAGTATCAGATAAGTACTTTCATTTTTGCTATTTAAAATAATAAAGAAATCTACACGAATTTTTTTCAAAGCAAAACCAATAAATTAGGTAACTGCCACAATTTATATCTGGGTATAAATCAGTTTTTCAAAACTAGTGTGTCCTAACTAGAGATAGGGACAGTTCTATTAGTTTCATTTCAGTTCCTCTTCAGTTCTACATTGACTTTTCTTAAGTAAATTAAACTTTAAACATTAAGTTAAATTTATTCTAATAAAGAATCATGAGATAATCAATTTAAAAAAATGTTTTTGACTGGTTATCAAACAAATTCGTCCTATTATTACTTTTAATTTGATAACAATTCAATTTTGAGCCAACTCTTAGAACTGGTTCAGAGTCAGTTCAGTTTGATTTTTAAAATTAGTTAAAAATAGTTTATAACTTAAAAAAATCCAAAATATGTTGAATTTGTAATCAACTCAGAGTCACTCTTTTTGAACCATCCCCATCTTTAGTCCTAACACTATGGTGTAATTCAAACTATCTTAATATAAAATATAATAATAGGAAAATATCTACGGCACGCGATCGAACCAAAAGAGTAAAAAAGTTCATTTGATATCAAAAGATATCTTCTAAAAAATAATCCAAATAAAAATAAAAAGTTCTAGTTAACAAATAATGATAATAATTATAATAATAATAATATTACCTTACAGCCAGAAAAAAAATTTATTAATAATTCAAAAAAACCTAATGTAAAATAGTGAAATCCCCTAACTATCACATACTGGAAAATCAAATCATCAATAGCTGCAGTCAAAAGTTAGCTTAGGCCAAAACTAAAAAACAAGATTTTCAAATACTTATTAAAATGATTCAACACGATATCTGATATAGAAACTTAAAGAAAAGAAAATGGCACAAATTCCAAAAAAATGAAAATATTCGATTGTTGCAGTGATAAGATCGAACCAAAATCTGTTGTATTGTGGTAAGGCCGTATCTGAAATTGGTGATAATTTCAGAACTCAAATTCTAACTTCAGTATATTTATTTATTATTAATTTTCTCTTTTTTGTTTATAATATTTTTTTAGGTGATTTCTTTCGAATTTGATTACTTCTGGTAAGAATTTATCTTTAATTTTATTTTCATCAAATTATTAATTTATAATTTTTTTTTAAACGCTGCAGCCTACAATTATTTCAGTTTTTTTTATTCTGAAGTAAATTCAATATGTTATTTATTATTATTTATAAATTTATTTTTGGTTACTATTAATTTCTATATTGATAGATTTTAACTATTGTGATCAAGCCTTTGATTTAATTATTTTTTCCTTAGGATATGATTGTTTAAAAAAGTATTTTATAAGGCATTTAATTTTATTTAATAATTAATTTTGTCCAAATCTAATTTACAAAAGGAATGATATTAAAGTTCCTATATATTTTCGCTTAAAAATGAAATCTAAAATTTTTTTGGTTAATTAAAATCAGGTATAATAAATCACGTGAGATTATAATATAAATTTCACGAACAAAATAAATAAATTACTGACCTTTAATTCAAAAATCTTATATTATTGAAATGATCTTTTCACATTAATAGTATTATACATCAATGTCAATATGTTCTAACTTCTCAAATTATATTCTCAATTAACAAAAAATTTCATTTCACTCCTTTAATCTATTGAGAATTTTTAGCTTTGTTATATTCTTTTAAAAATCCCAAGGCTTTTTTTGTTACATTGATAAGTCAGTTATAAATAATAATATTATCTTCCTAACATTCTTAAGTTATATCAGTACTTTTAGTTTTAGAAATTGCTGTAGTTCTTACAATATAACTTGTTACATAAGGATTATTTTGATTACTTTCCCATATAAATAGATAATCACAGTTTCTCTATATTTTGTGAAAAAATTCTGCATCTACTATCCCTTTTATCTGAATTAATACTTGAAGATCATAAACTTATTTGTTAAAAATAAGGACAGCTATAAATTCAATTTTAAATATTTGTCAT